TCAGAGCCAGAGTACACCTTCAGGAAGGCGCCATGAAATAGGCCACATTCGTATTCTTGGCATTGGACTGGAACTGGCTTGCAATTGATGCTAATGCGGGGAATCTTTTCGAATGCAAATGGAATTTATCTCTTTTTAATGACATTTCCTCCGCATGAGCCTCCATTGCAAGCTACTTCCAGTCCAATACCGAGAATACAAATATGGTCTTCTACATCTAATGAATATTACTAAAGACATTATGATAGTAGCAATGAAACTAATTTACCTCAACCAGTTTTATACTGAATATATTAGGTCCTGTGTCGTATAGTGACAGTGACATGCCTGCAAAAATATTCATGTATACTGATACACGAAGATTCTGGTTATGTGATGCATTGGGGAATATGAGACGATATCTAACTTTCGTGAGAGTGAGTAGGATTTCAGTGCACATCACCTTGGAAGGGCTGGCTTAGAAAAAAGCAGGACACGTGTGCTCAATAACACAGTTCTTGCAATGCTCTCTTATGTACATGAAGGTTTCATAGCTGATGTTGCATTCCTGCAAGTTTAAGTACTGCACACTGCAACACTGTGCTGCAATAGTCTTGACTCCAGTGTCAGTCACATGTTCGCATCCTCGTATACTGAGCTTTTTCAGTTGAGGACAGTGTATGCCTATAATGTGAAGGCCATTGTCTGTGATGTCACACTTTCCTGCATCAAGAGATCTCAGCTTCAAGCAGTTTTGAACAATGTGAGTGATGCCAACATCTGACACAGCTTCACATCCTCTGATGTTCAAGTACTTTAACTTTACACAATGCTTTCCAATGTACTTCATAGCAGTGTCTGTCACTGGACATTTCGCCGCACTCAGATATTTCAGACTCGGACAGTTCTTGGCAATTTCCTTCAAACTAAAATCTCTAACTTTGTAGCAGTCGCTAACACTGAGCTCTTTCAGGTGAACACAATGCTGTGCAATATGTTTGACACCAACATCTGTGACACGACTGCACCTGCGGAGATACAAATTCTCCAGTAAACCACAACTGAGACCCACTACTCTCATTCCCAAGTCATCAAAAGCGACACAGTCACTTAAGTCCAAATGCCGCAACTGGAGAAAAGTTCCGTGATGTCCCAAGCCAAATCCATTAGCCACTGGGGCTGATATGCTGTTCACACAGGTACAACCACTGGTATCGAGATGGCTAAGGGTGTGGCAATTCAGTAATATGTCATGAAGACCCTTGCTCGTGATACAACAACAGCCAGAGACATCAAGCTCTTCCAAGTCTATGCAAAATCGTGCCACAAAACCCAAACCTTTGTCAGAGAGAAGTTCGCACCCATTTAATTTAACTGAGTGCACTGTGATGCAATAACCTTGTGTGTCCATAGCTAGTTTTGCCAAAATGTTCCGTAAAACTTTGTTGATGTCGCTGCCTTCATAATTGGCAATTTGGATTGTTGACCACAGTACTGGATCCCAGCAGAGAGCCTGCCATTTTTGACAGACACCTGATGCCTTGCAAAGGTCTTTTGTCGACAGGTAAGAAAGAATGAGAATCAAAATATCCTCAGGTAGATCGTTCAAAGAGTTGATCCCAAATGTTGACTTTTTCCTGGGATAATGTGGAAATATGTCTTCAAACGCGCTGTGATCACTGATGGTTGTTGAATCGCTATCATATCTCGCCCTCGGTGGAGGTGGTTTTACTTTTTCCACTTTTGTAAGTCTGTTGCGTAACTGAGCTTGCAAAGAGTCTTTCCTCTTAATTTTACGAGCTTCTTCCTCTGGTGAACTTTCATTGTAACCAAGGCTAGTATTATTAGCATTTCTCCCTTTAGGAGAAGGCAAATCTGCATCATCTTCAACATGACCATTTGGGGTTCCTGGTAATTTGGCCGTAGAAGAAAGAAGCCCGTTAGATTTGAAGTTCACACCTTTCAAGATTAGGTTCCCATGATCTCTGACAGAAACACTGAATTTGTCCTTCTCAGAAGACATGGTGGAAATAGGTTCAGTGAAAGACTGTGATGAAGTGCTTTGGACACTATCAGTGTCTGTTGGCCAGTTGTTTGACTTACGTCTTCCACCAGGATTTGTCTGTAGTCTAACCGACGGTCCAAGTCTTTGTGCTAATTCCATGTCATTTCCACCATTTTGTCCTTTAGTTCTACCCTTATTTCCTCCCTTTTTGTACTTTCTTTTCAATGACATATCCTCATTAGCTCCTATTTCTTCTCTTCTTTCTGCTTCCACAAATATTATTCGGTTTCGTGCCCTGAAATCACTGTCAGTGTCGGAGCTTGTTTTTGAAGATAAAGTTCCTTTCATGTTTGTTCCTGCTTGAACAAGTTTATCCAGTGAGTCAGTTGACGCACGGCTTAGCTTCTTTTGAAAGTCACCACTCTGGCCATTTTGCTGTTGCTTCCTTACTACTCTAGAATCCTGGTCCTGTGTATGAAATGTAGTGGCATCTCTTTGGCGATCGTGAACTCTCTGTTCTCCATTCATTTTGGTGAAGTCTCTCATATTCTTACCCTCTATTTTTGCAGCACTATTAGATGGCCTTTGCCTTTCAGCTCTGCCTCTGGTTTCCATTCTTGCATTTGCCTGAGCACCAGCAGACTTGTGATTCACCATTGCAGGGTTTCCACCTTGCTGTGATCGTTCATTGCCTTGTCTATCCTCGCTATTTCTTAGAAACTCAGGCACGGCTAACTCTTCTCTGGGTATCATCAGCCCTTGACCACTCCTCGAGGAGAAATCTGGATCCTTAAGATTCCGCTTCACCACTGGAGATGTACCATTTTCATGATGGCGCTGTGTTTGAGTATCCTTCAAGAAATCTGGGACCTCATACTCCTTTAAAGGCATATGAATTGAACTTTCCCTGTGGTTGCTGTTGACTGGGACAGGACCATTCAGGTTTGACGTGGCAGTCTGGCCTGGTGTAGGAGAGAATTCCTTTCTGGGATGACCTTTTGGGGATTTCCCCTTTCTTTTCTTGTGTTTATCTGAAACAAAACAGTCATTCTGTATGAGTAGAAATTTAGGAGCATACAAACAGGACTTAGACATTTAATTCCCAATAGTAATTATCATCCAATTATCTTATAGTATCACTGTGGTGTTATCAACATCAAGACAGCAGACAGGTCTTGAAAGAATATTACCTCTTCTGTCTGATTGCAGTATATTTCTAATGAGGAATGGACTACTGATTCATTTTTTCCTTTGAAGGTGTGGGGTGAGGGAAAAATGAGAGAAAAAAGGTGCAAAGCAAAACATAGAAGGAAATGAAAAAGGCAACTCCTGCACAACATGAAGTTGGAGAAACATTCATCATCAGAACAAATTTTCAACCTGCCCCTCAGGAAAATATGTTTACCCACCCCTAACTTCATAAATGAATGCAGTTATTGTATTATTGTCTTTGGGAACTTGGTGTTGGAGGGTAGGTGCTTCTAACAGCCCTGTATGTCTGCCTTAAGTCCTGTAGCCCTATATTTTTTATGCTAGAATGTAGAATGTAGGACATACTACTAACAATAATTTTTTTTCTGTGTCACAACATCTGGCAAATAATTTGTTCTGTTTTCTCTCTCCATATTTATCCATCAACACAGAATCATGGGCATACAAAATAACATTTACTATAATTTAATTACTGTTTGGAGCTGACAAATTAATGATTGATGAATTTCCCTAAAACAAAGTTCAACTTCATCGACAATTGTATGAAATGTGCCGTCTAGGACATGATCACTGTCAGAAATAAGAGAAGAAGTCACTGGAAATAGTTTTGAGCACTCATTGACAAGCAGGGAGTGGTTTAACCTTGTACTCAAAAAGGTCACTCATGAGAAGCTGTGAAAAAACGCAAAAATCTAAGATGCTTTTTACATGTATATTGCAGAGGACAAATGCAAATTTCTTTGCTGTGGCAAAAATCTTTAAGAATATAATTAACTTTTAAAATGTCATAGTCTGTGGCTAAAAATTTTCGTCTACCTGTATGTTCTTTTACTCACAATAATTATAGTAACTTATATTAGACCTAAAACTAATCAACCTTGTCAAAATATTTCATTATTCTCAATGAACAACCAGTGATAACAAGATTATAAGTATAACAAAACATTCAAAGCAAAACATGATCAGCAATTGCTCCCCTGAAGAGCATATTGTCTTTAGACTTCAAACTTTTTGTGTGAACATGACATGTAAAGATAAACTTGACACTGGTGTTGCATTGTCAAGTCTTTTAATTAAATTCGTAATTCTGTGAAAAATGCAAGCAGAGCTTGTTAGCACTTCCGCCCTTCATCTTCTGACAAGTCAAAGAATGTAGCTTGCTGTTTTATAATCACTCATACTTGATACCAATGGAGAGTTTGACAAAGAAAACTGGCATGTGAGCACATTTTCTAATTAATTGACAGAACAAGTTGCATAACACTATTTGTTTGTGGCACAATGATTTTTTATTATCTTGTTAAAGATTAATACTTTGTTATGTGAAATCAATGAGGAATGAAGTCATTGTAGCCCAAACCTAAACTGCTTGGCCACACAGAAAGTAAGTTATACTTTGGAGCCTTTTACCAAAATCAGCGATGACAAGTTTTTCAGCCTGCATTAAATTTCATGGTTTTCCAGCCTGCATTAAATTTTGTGGCAAGGACATGAATTAGAGAACAATACTTACAAGTGTTAGGCCTTTCCACAAATATCTTGTTACTTTTTTTGGGATATTTAGAAAATTTAGTTATATTCATACGGCTATTTTGGACTTAGCCCTGTGTTTTCCTCCCTGTTTTCTTGAAACAACACCCAATAATAATATTTATATGCCAGAAACAATCCGGTTTAGTGTTGTTCCCCATAAAAAAGTGTAATTTGTATCACTAAAAGCACTAAAGCAGGAATTTTCCAGAATGGTAGATGCCGGTAATATCAAAGCATGTGAATCTTCCTCCCTGACTCATACTACTGCAAGAAAATTGGTAAAATTTTGGCCTAAGTGATTCAAAACTGGCTTATCATCAATGTACAAATAAGAGATACTAAGAGGGTTTTTCAAGATATTTCGAAAAAATTTTAATTTGTGATATTCAGAAACATTTTTTGAGAATTTCTGGAAAGATGTCTCTAGAGATGATTTTACATGATATTTGTGGAAAGGCCAGTAACTTGTACTTTAATTTGCTGCCAGGTTTTAGAAACATTATGCCTAAAATGTTCTGCAAGATACAAATGCTTGACTGACATTTTATGTGAGTATGGAATTAAACATTATTATACCATAACACTTGTCAATAAATTGAAAATGCTGATTTAAACATATCAATTTCTCAATTTATATCTAAAATAAATAAATCAATAAATCAACAAAAAAATAAACACAGTACTATGGATACACTATTTTACTTTTTCATATGTTAAAGTTTCAATCACCATAAAATATAGAATGGCAAATCTTAATGAATGTGAGCATGTTTAACCTTGATGCCAGGCATTGTTCAATGGCAAAGAGTTACCAGATGAATATAGTCACATTAAGTGGCTGTTGCAAAAATATTCAGGCATGATGCTGAAATGGTTGAGAGTACAACCAGCTACTTTGGATTCAGGAACCAAATCCAGTACAGATCGACACCAGTAAACAAAAGAGTTCAGTAAAAGGCAAGAAATCCTAAATTGGTAGATTGAAACCAGTTTCCAAAAGAGTTTTAATTGGTTGATGGATCACAAGTAGTCAAAACGAAACAAAGTGCCATACACATGCCCAGGCACAAAACCTAAGCATCGAGAGTGAATATGACCTCAGACACATTCATCTTGAAAAATTCAGGACATTTTGGCTGAAAGAGTGCACACAAGGTTTGAAAACACCCCAGTTATATGGTTTGAACTTATAAAGCATTGAAATTAAGCCTCTCGTAAGTGGTTCACAGAGTTAGTACACAAGGGTAAAGTTTGATAGATTTCCTGCTCTGACACAAACTAATCAAAACATACCCACAATGTGATACAATGTAATTAACTATTTTGCAATACTTGGTCTTCTGCATGGACAAATGTCTTTATGTGACAAAAGCTCTGACCTTTTAGCTTATAGACTACAGCTCCAGTGAGGTTTCAGTTACAGCGATGTAACTCTGATTGTAAAACTTTCGTTTTCATCTTTCATCGATCGAAGCCTAATCCAAATAAAGGATGGCCACGTCAAATGTTTCTTTCCTCCCAGACAACGGCTCAGCTAACTAAACGAAGAAGCATGCATGTGAAACGATTTATTTTAATTTTCTGATTTCATTCTGATGCAGGAAAATATTTCCAAATTCGATTTTTTCCATGGATCCTATTTCAAATTGAAATAAGACAGAATCTATCCGCTGTAACTGAGTAATTAATGTGAAATATGACCTCCAGACAGATGAAACATCAGGAGATAAATGGCAGACAAGATTTGTAACATAATTTTGAATTTACTCTACAATTTCTTGGCATCCTATGGGTGAACCATATTGAACATAGAAATCCTCTCATAACTGCTTGCTGAATCTTCACTTTGAGAGTAGTGTTGTTGTCAATATAAAGCGATATCCAATTTCACACCCTCTTCAAAAACTAAACGAGACCAAATTTACAATTTGAATTATTAATAAGCGAGTCAAATTTCAAGACATTTAATCTCAAAAAAATCAAAAAAGAACTAAATAGAAAGGAAATGGGGTTTTATAATGCCTTTATCGCTTGAAAATGCTTGAAATAAGATCCTAAACTGGCAGGATTTTCACAGTATGTAGCGAGGAAGGGATTACTAAAACGATCACGCGTAGCTCGGAGAAACATGGCCACCGGTGTTGTAAAACAAGCACTGTTAAAAATGTGCAAATGGGTTTAGATTCAATCAAAATTACTCGTTCTTTGGACTGACTCTGTGTTTAAGCTAGCATTCTAAAGGTCATTTAGCGAATGAAATACGCATAGTTTGTGTGTACTTTTACACTAGATAAATAAAAAAACTACTGCTAACTTCAACCTGCAAAACGATCGATGTACTAACCTTACATTTACATGTAATCTTCGATACCTTTCGCGAGCGGAAAATAAGGAAATGAAACTGAAATTACTTGATAAATTCTTCACTTACATTGCTTAGTGGAATACATCGAAAGGACTGTAATTAAGCTTAAATGCAAGCAAAATATTGACGATATTAAGTGCGGTCTAATTCTTGAAGTTGCGAAAAGCAAAGATCTCAACAACAAGAATTAATGAGATGTTAGGAGCAACACATGCGGAATTCCGCTTGAAGGCAAATAAATTCCATTTCAAAGCAATTATTGGAGCTCTATTCCCGAGTTAAAACGAAACAAAACCTTCCAAGGGAAAAGAATGCTGCCAATGCACGATCAAAGCTTCTTAGCATACAGAAAAGTACGACCTCCATGTTGATCAAACAAATTCGTCGCGAATGGGTTTAGATGTTTGGAAAAGCTAACACGTTATGTACATATGCTTTTATCTTGCGCTCACACAAATAATACGCCCTTAGTTGACTCTTGACAGTTTCAAATGGTGGAACACGTTGATAAAACTGAGCGATTACAGACCAGAATTTCAATGTGACGCCGTAAGCGGTATTCCACAACAAAAGGCCGTTACTCGAACTTTTACAGCGGGAATGTGGAACGAACAACTTGAAAATGCCTCAAAATAATAGAATCACGTTTAATCAAGCCCTTTTTATCGAAATAATCGCAGAAAATTGTACCTGCGGTTCGAAAAAATATGAAATATCCCTTAGCAGTTTCGTAAATTTCGCAGGGATATGTCATTGTCATGCAAAACCATCCTTCACAACTCAGTGTCACACTTGAATTTCAAGTAAGTGTTTGCGCTTTTTTCGACATTATCCAGAAATCTAACACTTTTCTTACCTTCAGGGCTTCTCCCTTGTGTATTTCCCATTTGTTCACGAATAAAATTGCCACCATAAAATCGATCGATATGTTTCACTATGACATCTTCCCATTGACTTTCGCCAAGTGTCCCGGACACTTGTCCTGAGGCCCCAATCTGTCAAATGCTACTCATTTTGTTTATGTGCCAAACAATGCGCTCTAATATAAATAATTAATGAGTCGGATTACCAAAAAGTATGTAAATATATATGAAGGGAACTATTCTTTGTTGAAACTCTCATGTAAATATTTAGTTTCTTGGAGCCGATGAGCGATTTTATTCTCTTCCGGCGAGATAAATGTGGATTCCGTGATTTAGATATCGTATTCGTGGTAAGTATAATATTGGGCGGCCTGTAAATTTTCTTAAAGTGCGTGCTTACAAAGTTATTTCACGCAAACTTGCGTTCTCTTCAATATCGTTTGAAACTCGTCCTAATTTAACGCTCCCAGATGCCATGGCAGAGCTGTCGTGGTAAATTAAAAATCTATTTTTACCAAACCTGTTGCGTGTTTCGTCTCGATTAGACGTGCTGTGAAACTGATGACTGGATTAAATTACGCCTCGTGACCTGATATGGTATTTTAAAACTTAGGCATGCAAGAAATCATTTAAGAAACAAAACAGTGGATAAATTTGTCAACAATAGTGAGATACTATTGTTTAACTACGGATATTTAATAATTTATAATTGCAGTGCGTCAATTTTGGTGTCTGGTTAAAGTTACTCTTATTTTTAGCGGCCACCGAAATGAAACAAATTATGTCAGTTTATTCCCGCATTTCGCAGGTTATTAGAGATTTTGAAAATCAAGAGCGAAACTGCAACACTATCTCAAAGTTATTGAGCCCTAGAGATCGTGGAGTTTGCTAAAATTAAAATTAATGGAATTGTGTACTCGATCGAAAGGTAAAATAGATTGTAACGGTATTGATGACGCAAGCACAAGGTAAAGGAATGACAATATTCGGCGTCTGCGTCTGCCGCTAATCAGGAGACCCACTTCCTCCACGCCGCTTCTTTTGATTGATAGCCGAGTTCTCCTCACTTACAACTGTACAGATCTATGGATGTTAGTTTGGAGAATTTTTCGTTACATCAAGTGTTACCTGTCTGTCTAGTAACAATGTGTTTATATTGCTTGGGGAAACAATATGTTCGCTACTATTGTATATTCGATGAAATGCTTGTTTCTCTTTAAAATATTGATACAAAGTGTCAGGTATGGAGAGGGAGGGAGGGAGGGGAAGGGGCTATTATGTCGTCTTGCTTAGAGGTGTAAATCCCAGCATGATTTTGGTCAGGAACAAATGCCACTATTTTTAGCCGTCAAGGTATCTTTTTTAGGGTTGCACGCGAGGAAGAAATAATTGAAAGCGTGGAAATGCATGTAGAATATACTTGTAGGAGAAAGTATTCGATCACAACGTGTTTTATCATAACAGTGCATCGTTGTCTGTCTGCTTTCAAGTGTCTTAAAGTGTTGTAATTGTAAAGCTCTAGCCCACAATTCCAATTTTCCGACTCACCCACCCGTCCCTTACTTTAACATCGAAGTTTTCCCGGGGGATCAGATTATCGCAGCTGATTTCCGAAACTGAAAAAAGAAACTATATTGGTTTATACAGGCTGCGTATAGTCTAGCACTATATGAGAAATGTATGAATACCAATGAATCTGCATGTGGAGTCAGGGTTGTTAAACTGTTGAAAGGCCCAAGGACACAGGAAGCCATGACAAGCGGTAATTGGGTTTTAAATAATTCACTACCGGTTTTAGAAGCCGCGATGAAACCTACAGTTATCTACTTAACAGAAATGTCAACGGTCTGTCAACATATCCAACGCGCTTCACAATAGCTACTCGTAAAACATGTGAAATATTTTTGTAAATCTCCTCTTTACGCACCTGAAGAATGCTGGTAGTCAGGCCAGCCAAAACGTATTCCGTATTTACATGTAAAAATCAAGTTAAATTCCTCGTTACGTCGGCTTTGCTTAGTTTTCGTGTACATCTTCAGCCGACCCGATCAATTTTGTATGTCTGACGCAATCCGTGCAATGTACACTATCGTGCAAGTTGCAAGAGTAAGTTCGTAGACAAGTGTTTATCAAATAATTCTTAAATTGCGATGACGTTAAGATACAAACGTTCGAGATAATATAATACTCGTGATAGAAGAAAAGGACTCAACATTTGTACAGAGTACTCACGTTTCGTGGAAATTCGCTCTTCGCTCTGGTTGAGAGTTCAATCCTTCGCTGATAACTTTACCTATATCATTGCAATCTACGTTATCGATATTTGATCATGGTATAGTCAAGATGACTTCACTGTTTCTCGAATACAGCCTAACTAAACTGGGAACTAAATAAAGTCATCCGTTTGTGACATACACCGGCAAGATTAGTGTTCAGGTTTGTTTGTTAGCTCTTCTCTTATCAAGTGTCGCTGTATGTTGTCATTTATAATTACATCAGTACAATTGAATGAGTGATCAGAGAACTAAGACGTCACGAGAGGGGTAACATTAACATGTGTCTATATCAAGTTAGTCTGAATTCTTTGAACTTCATTTACGTACCAATCCAATTGAAACCCGATTTATTATATGGTTAGCTCTGTGAGCTTAGCTGTGATTGGCTACCCGAGCGGGCAAGATAGTGCTATCTGGCCCGCTCGGGATTACCCACTGTGTGCCGCAAGAAAATATTTGGGTTTTCTATCCATATAATAAAGCCGTTATTAACCAAGCATGAGGTCAAGATGGCTGGATATTGGCCTCGTTCTTTTTTTGCGTGTTTATGGACCGGGACGGAGTAAACACGTAAAAAAAAGAACGAGGCCAATATCCAGCCATCCTGACCTCATGCTTGGTCAATAACCCATATATGCAGGATATGAGCAGCAGTTAAACGCTGCTTCAGGCCAACAAAGGTGCCACGACGCCAGGAGGATCTCGTAAGAATTTGGCACAGTTAATGCCTCAACGTGTATTATAGATTAAAAGTAAAGAGAACCGGAGGACCCACAACTTCTGCCATAAAAAAGCTAAAAGTGAAATTTACTAAAACGTTTCGGTCTTCATCAGTTGCCTAGGTAGGATATGAGCTGTAGCTTTTTAAGTAATGAACTCAGCTTATTTTCCTCTGATCCCCACACTCCTCGCGGCTGCCTGCTACAATAATATTCGCGAAAAAAACAATTGGAAAAACATACAAGTAAAATACAGTGGATGGTTGTTCGATATGGAAATAAAACCCGCGGCAAAAAGATTTTCATGTCAGCGAGAGAAGGTAACGCTGCTGAAACGTGTAACTTCAACCTATATCCCAACGCCTTTTCCCTTGCTTGGGGCCGGACGGGAAAAGACCCTGGCATCAGCTGGTCACGTGATACCTCATAATTATTTCGTGAACTATAATTTATGCAACCGCTCGCAAATCCTCTATTCCTATTGGCGGTTAGAATTCCCGCAAAAATACAAAAAATCATTAATTTAAGCGGGCTAATGAAGCTGGTAGGCAACTGTAGGCTAGTGTGCTATCGAGTCTGGTGAATAGAATACGTTTTCTGTGGTGTTCTGTATGGAGCCGTCGACTCCCAAAAAGCTACATGCTGGAAATTCGGCGGGTGTCGGTTTTGTGGTGGTGCGTAAAAAAACCGTCATATGTTTCGGTTTTTAGATAAAAGCAGCATCGAAAAAAAAAAGCTTGCTTCGAAAATTCACCATGCCTGTGGAGTGTGGAATCACTGGAAGGGAGGCTGATTGCCTTGTAAAGTTGGTTATCAGGAAATACGAAGCATTTGTCGTCACTAATACAAGGTGAGCGACTTCACCAAAAGATAGGGGTATTCAAACTGAACTTGAACTAGGACAAAACTGTTCAGAGTAGCGCTGCACGAAATTATCGCCATCTTGTAAACAGCCTTTGAAGCTCGCGGCTACCACCCCGCTCCTCCCCCAAGCAAGGGAAAAGGCCCTGGGAACGAGGTTAGTAACCTTGGAAACTTAACTAAAGCTGGAAGTGCGCTGAAGGAAATACTCCATAAAGGTTTCGTGCGCAGTGCAGGAGAAAACTAAAAGAGGAAATTGGCCTTGAGTAGAAGGAGGGAATGGAGAGAAAGAGATTGGAATATCCTTCAGAAGTTATTCTTCAGATAATTTGAGGTGTTTTTTTGGAGAAATATATCTTCATAAGTTTCATTGGGACTAACTAACATGTCTGTGAAAGATAGCATTATTTGCTGAATGATAAATTTTCTGTTAACAGGTAGGTAAGTGCTTAAGACAACAAAGTTCCATAGCATCCGCCAGTGGTGAAAAGCGAACGTTATGTAGCTGAAAACTCGTTTTCAAACATGTCACACTGCATGCTAAAAATAAGCAAACAAAACAACAATAACAAAACAAACAAAAGAAAACATAAGACAGAAGGCCAATCACATCAGAATGGACTGAAGGAAATTTTTATTCACTGGCTTGAAAATAGGCCACTTCCAAACAATCTCACTCCTGGCCATTTTAGAGTTACATTGTGCCTTTCAGTTTCAAAAAGCGAGTGCTCTTGCAAAACCTTTCACATGAAGATCAGTTTGATTGACGTTTGCGTGAAAATGATCATGAAGGAGGGGGGCGGGGGAAACACATTTTTGTATGAATGGTTTCACACGAGCCCTGACTCGTTTTGAAACAGAGGCAAAAGGAAAATTCCCTCGTTTCATTTCAAATGTCAGGGATCGATTCTTAAATTAGGGAGAGTAAACGTGTTTTATTTACGAAGACGCCTCATACACTCAGAAAATGTTTATTCTTTGAAAGTCATCCTATGATAGCAGGCTCGATTTCTGTGATACCAGCACACTTCCACTTGGCTGTCAGCACGGTTAGTTGCTCATCCTCTTCAGTATCGCCTTCCTGAATCCTCTCTTCCAACACGTATTCCCCGTGCTGCTCGCAGCCGATATCAAATCGATATTTACCGCCGCCTTGAAGATTATCATCAACGAAATTTCCTACGTATCTGTGATTAGAGTGAACCAGTTCTCCAGAGCCATCCCGCTTGCCGTGTACCCATGATCCTTTGTACTTGGTCCCAGTCGCCGAGTAGGTGTACACTCCTTGACCGTGCCTCTGATGCTCGTACCAGTTCCCTTCGTAAGTGTCGCCATTCACGTAGTAGTAAATTCCATGGCCGTTTCTGCGATCCTCGACCCAGCCACCCTCGTAGCGCGAGCCGTCTGGGTACCAAAACGTCCCTTGGCCGTGTTTCTTGCCTTTCACGTACTCACCAACGTATTTGGAGCCGTTTTTGAAGCGGTACGTTCCATTGCCGTGTCGCTTACCGTGCTCGTACTGTCCCTCATATGTGTCTCCGTTCGGTAGCGTTGCTTTACCGTAGCCATGCCGTTCTTCACTTTCATTTCGTTCTCCTTCATATTCCTACGAAACAGCAAAAGGATAAAACCATTTGATAACTAATTTATGTACCCCTCGCCCAAACAGCTCTTTAAAAAGGACTAACCCCTCCATACCTCCCAAGTATGCGGCAGACATTTAGGAACAACTGGAGCCAGCCAGTAAGTAAAATGTCCTGTGTTAGGGGGCGAAAGGTGGCGATTGGAAAGTCTGATTTATTGCGTTTTGTTAGAAAGTTTTTATACCAGTTTAAAATTAATTTCGTTTGTTCTTACAGTTTCATCTTTTTTTTCTTAAGACTGGCTCATTTCAGGGACATTTGTTGCCTTGAATGATCAAAAATGTGTTCGAGTTCTGTGCTGGCCAGCTTTTATTTGAAGCCATGCGCTCATGGTCGCACCTTGGTCAACATCTTTAATGAGAAAAATTGTTTATATTGTTTATCTGTCGTGTCAAAAACATAATAATTGCATAAATGGAAATGTGAATTTTTCAGCGAACTTTCAAACGTTACGTTTGGTAACTGCTTATAAAACTTCAGTGCTATGGCAATTGATTTTATTTCGGTGGGTTTCATCTTTCTTTTCAGAATAACAAGCGTCTCGCTAAGTGTGTGTATTCCAGTATTTTTCAATTATTTGCTTACCCTTTTAATATCACCATTTTGTTGGCTTTTCTGTGATGCCAATTACTGTGTGATAATTTCTTTATAGCATCAGTGATATTTCACTGGGCAGTCGGTTCGTCGGGAAAGTTAGTAACGTAGAACTGATCGAAGAATTATCGATTTCCAGAAAGTTTCTTGCCTTCTTTCAAGTCGTTAAAGCAGAAACTACTAGAGAAAAATTGCTATATTTCCGAAACACCCTGTTTATGGTTCATCAAACAAATGATTTGTCAACCTTACAATGTAAAGAAAGTTTCATTTCGAACGAAAATTGTACGCAAAAATATTTGAACGGTCTAAGTGCTTTCGCTGCATTGTTCCAAGCTCCGACATCACTGTTCAAGACGACGAAATTCGCGAATTATAAAACTAAAGATGACAGACTTTGAAAGCCTGAAGAGCAGCTGGCAAAATTCGAGATAATATTGACATGTACGAGTTCGCTTCCATTTCGCCTGCAAATATGGTTGTAAAAGTGTTTTCACTTACCCCAAGATTGATACCTTCGTCTTCTTCGAAGTCTTCCGATCCTATGTCCGACATATTCAAGTAATGAAGTTTGTAATATATATCAAAGCAAAGGGCAGGATCCTGTTCACGTTAAAAGCTCGGTAAATATTATTTCAAGTTGTGTTTGCAGCGGCTTCTGGCTTTGCGTTGCCCGAGCAACAATGCGAGAAGTTAAATTTGAAAGTCAAATGTGGTTCTTTTCTTATGCATATGATCAGCCGCCATTGTTTGGCGGATTGAATCGTGAGCCTCCCGCGTGGAAAGAATCAAAACACACAAAAAAGAAGGCGATGCATCACGGTTTTGCACTTGTCAAACAAAAACCGAGGAAAATCTTAGGCTCCTTTTTGCCATCTGTATGTTGCGAGTTCAGTAGTTCACGCGAAGCCCGCGCGAGTCAACACCCGGGCTTTAAAGAGACGGGTGAATTTACGCTCAGCTTGCCCTCTTTCCAGATTCTTTCACAACGCGTTGCCTACTGCTTCAGCGAGTTTTTATGACAACGACGGACCGTGGAGGTTTCGCAATCGTTCTCCTTTGTAAGAATCAGTTTACTTAAGTTAAGTGTCGAAGTGTTTGGCACGGCAGTACTAATTGAGAACACTGAAACTGACAGCAAACAAATATTTCAAATGGAACAGAAACTTGTCAAAAATCCCATTTGGCGAGAGACTGACCGGTTAGCTGTTTACAAAGCGTGGAGTTTAATTTGGAACCACCGAACACAGCTCCATCTAGCGGTAGGGGAGAAGATTCAACCCTTGGACCTCCAACCTCAATTTGTAAAAACATTTTTTCAGATTGGTGCTCGGTGTTCGGTTTTCATAGCCTTACGATGTGGAATACACAGGAAAAATAACAGTTTCAAAAAAACCGATTTTGATGGGAAAAAAGAAAGAAAAAAAAATAATGGGTGATCCTGGTAACTAGTTCGCCTCAACTCAGTATGCCAACTGCGAATACTGTGTACCCACTCTCCTCCCGCCAATAAAATTATGCGCAGAGGTAATGATTCCCTCTTATAAAAATGCTGTCCTCTAAAGGGGCTGAAATTTCATCTCGGGCTGAAGTCCACGATGTAATCACCCCTTTGGCCCTTGATTGTCGGTAAATGAAGAATTTCAGCCCGGACTGAAATTACAGCCCGGTGAAGTAGCTGGAATCTTGTTGTGATTACATTACAAGTTTCATGCAACCGGGATTTAAACCTCCTTTTCTCTCGGAATTTCTCCCTATAGCTGCCTCACTTGATTAAAAACACAGTCACTGCGAATGCCCAAGATCTCTTTTCAGCCCGGACTGAAAGTGCATTCCGATTACGTGGGTTCTTTTGGGCTTTCAAGCCCATTTGACCGAGTTGAAACTCGAGGCTGGAACTTCCATCCCGGTCTACTATTCAAGCAATCACCATCTTTATTCCAAGGGATTTTTCTAAGAGGCCACTTAATTAAGCACTTCCTGGAGGGCGATTGCATTGAATTAGCCCGGCTAAGCTTTCGAAACAAATCCTCTTTAAATGAAGTGAACGAATACATGGAGAAAATTTCAGCCTTGGCTGAAATTCAGCCCGTGCTTAAAAATTCAGTCATGGAGAAAAAATTTCAGCCCGCGCTGAAAAATTCTTGGAAAAAAAAATAAGCCCATAATAGGAATGGAATTTCAGTTCGGGCTGAAAACAGAACTTGGAGCAAGCGTAGTGTATTTCAGTGAAACAAGATCAGTGAAGGGGGCCACGAAGGAGAAAAGGTTTCAACCTGGGAGGGAATTTGTTACGTAAGATCAACTGAAATTACACTTCTTAACTCTGAATAAGATGATATTTTCTTCAAGGTATAAAGCCGATAAAAGGATGAATCGTGCTGGAAAGAATTTGCTAACATACTCACTGGCATTGGAATAAAGCCATCTGAAACAGATTGTTTTGCTGTTACGGCTTGTTCATCAGTTGTTGTGTCTAGAAGTTACCTTTCAGGTCAATACTTCTGCAAGATATTCATTTTTGGAATGTCTGCATTTACTATCAGATGTATCTTTTCGTTTATTCTCAAGGGCAGAAACATACAGCTGTTTCCTCACTTAATTGTGTCTCGCACAAGCGAAGAAGCGAATGCGGCAATGCTGATTGGTACTATAGGTGGTGATGGTTTCTCGTTGCTTGGTTGTAGTTCACAGTGTTTCAG